TCTATAGTCTAGTCTATAGTCTAGTCTATAGTCTAGTCTATAGTCTAGTCTATAGTCTAGTCTATAGTCTAGTCTATAGTCTAGTCTATAGTCTAGTCTATAGTCTAGTCTATAGTCTAGTCTATAGTCTAGTCTATAGTCTGGTCTATTGTCTAGTCTATAGTCTAGTCTATAGTCTAGTCTATAGTCTAGTCTATAGTCTAGTCTATAGTCTAGTCTATAGTCTAGTCTATAGTCTAGTCTATAGTCTAGTCTATAGTCTAGTCTATAGTCTAGTCTATAGTCTAGTCTATAGTCTAGTCTATAGTCTAGTCTATAGTCTATAGTCTAGTCTATAGTCTAGTCTATAGTCTAGTCTAGTCTATAGTCTAGTCTAGTCTATAGTCTAGTCTGTAGTCTAGTCTAGTCTAGTCTATGGTCTAGTCTATGGTCTAGTCTATAGTCTAGTCTATAGTCTAGTCTATAGTCTAGTCTATAATCTAGTCTATAGTCTAGTCTATAGTCTAGTCTATAGTCTAGTTTATAGCCTAGTCTATAGTCTAGTCTATAGTCTAGTCTACAGTCTAGTGTATAGTCTAGTGTATAGTCTAGTCTATAGTCTAGTCTACAGTCTAGTCTATACTCTAGTCTATAATCTAGTAATCTATAATCTAGTCTAGTCTATAGCCTACTCCATAGTCTATCCTATAGTCTAGTCTATAGCCTATCCTATATTCCAACCTTTTTTCCAAAATTAAGTAATTTAAAAATCCTTCTTTCAAATCTTTTGACATTTCTGCTCTCATTTTCCCACAAAACAATTGTCAGCCACCCGCCAACCACTGGCAAACATTGCTTGAAATCTCAACTTGAAAAGTGGTTTGACTCCGACTCAAACAAAATTTCAAATATACAAATTTAAACATACCTTTCAAATTCAATTAAAAATATGCAACAATATCCAAATAATTCAATTAAAATTTAATTTTTCAATTTCAATATAAACAAAAATAAAATTGTCAAAGAAATATTCAAACGACATGTATGATGGCAGTAAAAAATAGTTGTGTATGAAAAAAAAAACTAAGCATACAGCCTTGTCTTTTAGGAATTGTTTTGAAAATTCATACATTTGCTGTTCAATCTAAGAGTATTCATGCTGTGATGACTAGTAGCTAAAATTGCCTGAACATTAAATTTGAGAAAAAAAAAGATCGTGATAATGTGTCAGAGAAAAATTGCTGAATTGATATAAAATAGAATTAACATAAAATTGAATGAAAAAAAAACAAACTAAACCGAAAATTGACATTAAAGTGCAAAACAAACCAATTGTGACAATTTTAAAGAGAATGCTAGACGGAGTAAGTTGTAAATGTGCACATGAAGGGCTATTCACAGCTTGACCATAAGATATTTAAAAATATTTCAAAAAATAAATCTTCAGAAATATTTCTCTTAAAAAATTTTGTTTTTATTTAACCAACTGTGAGTAGCCTTAACTTTCTTAAATCTTCATGAAAACCAATCACATTTAATTGCTTTGGCAACACTTTGCTCGATGGCATGTTTAAGTCGCTTACATATTTATATTTTCAAAATCTTTTTCCTGCTTTTGAAATTTTAGTTCAATAAATCTATATGAATGTGTTTTGGGGGAAAACAACTGAACACTGTGTGTGACCATAAAAAAATACTTTTAATTAATAATAATTCAATAAATTGAATAGTGAACATTACTCTTGTGAAATAAATTAATTTTTCTATAATTAACAGTTTTAAACAATAAATCTGTTAAATGCTTAAGTGTTAAACATTTTAAACACCAGCTGCAGAGACGTGCCAAGAATTGAAAGTCTTGAAAGTTTCAATTACACACAATGCGTTCCAAAATGCTATCTCAAGTAATTGTATCACAATAATGTCCGTCTATCTGCCTATTTTAGTTATTAACACATGAAATATTTATGTTTAAGTATTTGACAGGTTTAGTGAGATTTGAATGAATAAATATGGAGGCAATACAATGTTGTTTAAATTTATATTAAATGTGAACTATATTTCTTGTCTGTAGTTCAGAGTCTGAACTTCAGACCATATTTCAAGATATTAAACATTGTATTGTAAAAGACTAGACTATAGATTACATTATAGACTAGACTATAGACTAGACTATAGACTAGACTATAGACTAGACTATAGACTAGACTATAGACTAGACTATAGACTAGACTATAGACTAGACTACAGACTAGACTACTGACTATAGACTAGACTATAGACTAGACTACTAGACTAGACTAGACTATAGACTAGACTATAGACTAGACTATAGACTAGACTATAGACTAGACTATAGACTAGACTATAGACTAGACTATAGACTAGCCTATAGACTAGACTATAGACTAGACTATAGACTAGCCTATAGACTAGACTATAGACTAGACTATAGACTAGACTATAGACTGGACTATAGACTAGACTATAAACTAGACTATAGACTAGATTATAGACTAGACTATAGACTAGACTATAGACTAGACTATAGACTAGACTATAGACTAGACTATAGACTAGACTATAGACTAGACTATAGACTAGACTATAGACTAGACTATAGACTAGACTATAGACTAGACTATAGACTAGACTATAGACTAGACTATAGACTAGACTATAGACTAGACTATAGACTAGACTACAGACTAGACTATGAACTAGACTATAGACTAGACTATAGACTAGACTATAGACTAGACTATAGATTAGACTATAGATAGACTATAGACTAGACTATAGACTAGACTATAGACTAGACTATAGACTAGACTATAGACTAGACTATAGACTAGACTATAGACTAGACTATAGACTAGACTATAGACTAGACTATAGACTAGACTATAGACTAGACTAGACTAGACTATAGACTAGACTATAGACTAGACTATAGACTAGACTATAGACTAGACTATAGACTAGACTAGACTATAGACTAGACTATAGACTTAGACTATAGACTAGACTATAGACTAGACTATAGACTAGACTATAGACTAGACTATAGACTAGACTATAGACTAGACTATAGACTAGACTATAGACTAGACTATAGACTAGACTATAGACTAGACTATAGACTAGACTATAGACTAGACTATAGACTAGACTATAGACTAGACTATAGACTAGACTATAGACTAGACTATAGACTAGACTATAGACTAGACTATAGACTAGACTATAGACTAGACTATAGACTAGACTATAGACTAGACTATAGAGACTATAGACTAGACTATAGACTAGACTATAGACTAGACTATAGACTAGACTATAGACTAGACTATAGACTAGACTATAGACTAGACTATAGACTAGACTATAGACTAGACTATAGACTAGACTATAGACTAGACTATAGACTAGACTATAGACTAGACTATAGACTAGACTAGAAGACTAGACTATAGACTAGATTATAGACTATAGACTATAGACTATAGACTATAGACTATAGACTAGACTATAGACTAGACTATAGACTAGATATAGACTAGACTATAGACTAGACTATAGACTAGACTATAGACTAGACTATAGACTAGACTATAGACTAGACTATAGACTAGACTATAGACTAGACTATAGACTAGACTATAGACTAGACATAGACTATATACTAGACTATAGACTAGACTATAGACTAGACTATAGACTAGACTACAGACTAGACTATAGACTAGACTATAGACTAGACTAGACTAGACTATAGACTAGACTATAGACTAGACTATAGACTATAGACTAGACTATAGACTAGACTATAGACTAGACTATAGACTAGACTATAGACTAGACTATAGACTAGACTATAGACTAGACTATAGACTAGACTATAGACTAGACTATAGACTAGACTATAGACTAGACTATAGACTAGACTATAGACTAGACTATAGACTAGACTATAGACTAGACTATAGATTAGACTATAGACTAGACTAGACTAGACTAGACTATAGACTAGACTATAGACTAGACTATAGACTAGACTATAGACTATACTATAGACTAGACTATAGACTAGACTATAGACTAGACTATAGACTAGACTATAGACTAGACTATAGACTAGACTATAGACTAGACTATAGACTAGACTATAGACTAGACTATAGACTAGACTATAGACTAGACTATAGACTAGACTATACTATATACTAGACTATAGTTCAGATTATAGACAAGACCATAGTACAGACTGTGTCCTGAATACCCAGAATATAGATCATACTATAGTCCAAACTATAAGCTAGACTATAAACTAGACCATTGACCAGACTATAGTCGAGACTACAGTAAAGCCTATAGATTTGACTATAGTTCAGACTCCAGACTAGACCATATTCCAGACTATGGTCCGGAATATAGTCTGGCCTATAATTCGATCTATATTCTTAACTATAGACTTGACTATAGACTAGGCTATAGTACAGACTATTGACTAGTCTATGGTCCAGACTATTGATAACGCTATAGCCCAGATTATTGTCCAGACTATAAACTAGACTCTAGTCCAGACAATATACTATAGTTCAGAATATAGACAATACTAAAGCCCAGGCTACAGACTAGACAATAGTCCAGACTTCGGGTTAGACTATATTCCATACTATGGATTAGACTATAGCTCAGACTATAAACTATACTGCAGTCCAGACCATAGACTATAGTCTAGACCATCAACTCAATTATAGTCTAGATCATATACATTCCATACTATAGACTAGGTTACATACTAGACTATATTCAGACTATAGACTATAGTTCAGACTTTGGGTTAGACTATATTCCAGACTGTACTATAGTTCAAACTATTGGCTAGATTATTTTCAAGACTAATGATTAAAACTGACAATGTATGCTTTCTATCCCTAGAAGATACTTTCGATTTTAAAGTTTAAATCTTGAATTAAAGCTTTTACATTTTCTGAAAATATCATATTGGGACTTACCTGCTTTAAATCCAAAGTTATGGTTATATATTCATAATTTCTGCCATATTGCAAGGTAGGCGACTGCCACCATTGATCCTGCATATTAACATTGGAAATCACGGATTCTATAGGTCTATGTTTGGCCACATCTGAAGAATGAGCATTACAAATACCACATTGGGTGGCCCATTTCTTATGAGGATAAGCATCTACTAGTTTGCAGTATTCCTCCCGACCATTTTGACCACAAGTGGCATTAACGGTAATAGAGGCACGCGTGGCAACATTAAAGAGTTGAGGAAATAAACCACCCTCCTGATGGCTGTTATCCAGAGAAGAAGAAGTTAGGGAATCACTGTGACTATTTAGCAAACGTAAAG